AGTTAATAACCTCATATTTGACACAGACCTCAGTTTTGAGCCTCTCATTAGAAAGATAACAAAAAAAAGGACCTTTTAAAATTTAAAAACACTGCCAGAGTGCAACTGTTTCTCTCTCAAGCCAATACAGAGACACTACCTTTTTCCCTGTAGGACTGATTGTTAAAATGTTCTGCTATCTGGTCTCCCAAAGCAGAATACATCTCAAACACAACTGCTTCAAAACTCAGCTGCACAAGTGTTGACTAAAACCAGAGCGAGAACACAAATAACAGCAGATTTAAAGTCTCTGGACCTTCTACCTGTCTGCTTCAGAATTGATTTTGCAGTCCTTTAATTGGTTTATGAAACTCTGGTCCTACATATTTATTGGATTTGCTTTTATCTCCCTGTGATCTTTGAGGTCTTCTGGTTGTGGCCTTTTAATTACAACCAAAGTCGGAACAAAAAAACATCCTTTTTGTTTTCCTGAAGACCTGGGGCCATCAAGGAACTTAAATCTTGATGGCCCCAGAAAAGTAAAGGCTTACCTTTTCACTCTGGCTTTTAATGGATTGATCTCATGTTTTATGTATGTCTGTTGATTTATCTGTCATTTAAAACTTGACTTCTGTACTCCTGTCTTATTTTGCTATACAGATTTTTTGACTTGTTCTCTTTCTGGTGTTTCCTCGTTGCAAATGTATTAGATTTATTTATGATGGCATTTCCTCAGTCATTGTTTCCTCTGTCATTTTTCTTTTGTTCTGCAAAGCACTTTGTGTTTCATTGTACTTGTATGAAAGTCCAATACAAATAAACTGTGACAGGTTATTCCTCTTCCGAGTCCCCCTGTTATTTTGAACATTTCTTGATGTCACTTATTAGTCCTCTTAAATTACAACCATTTCAACTTTTCATTTTAAAGGTGTTGGTAATTGCTTTTCTTTGACATTTTTGCCAATATCCTCACTGATGTGTGTAAGCAGTCACAGTTCAATCAACACCAGCTCAAACCAGAGCCAGCATCAGCGGAAATTGAAATTTTACTTCCAAATGGATACTCTATGGTCAGACCTTGTATGTCCTATAATCAAACTCCTGCTGCAATCACTTGACGTGTGGCTCCATCGTTCCTATCGCAGTCAATCTTGTATCACAGGGTTTGGTAATAATAAACAAAGAAATGAAAGATTTGCATCGTGAGGTATAATGAATTCCATTTAATTTATAGTGCTGACATTTTGGGCAGAGAACTTCCTCAGCCTGTGCAAACAAACTATAGATTAAGTCTCCACAGGTAGCACGGTGAGATTTAAACATCCACATGGAGGAGGTTTGAGATGCCATCGTCGTGTCTTATGTAAACCGGCAAAGTGCACCTGCAGGGGGAACCAAAATCTATCACAGCAACTCACAAACTGAGTCTACAGGCCGGCTGGCAGCTCTCAGACGCTGGACATGGTGAGGTTTTGAGCTAAATAATACCATAAGTAGTTAATATGCATGCGCATATTAACTAGATTAACCAGAAACCAAAGTGTAGGATGACTGAAAATTTGACCCGATGACTGCACATGATACATAGGGATTAGCAGTTTATCAGTTTTTGTAATTTATCTCAACAGGGACGTGGATTTTTGTGCCAAATTTTATTGCAATAAATATGATTGTTGTTTAGGCATTTTTACTGGAAAAACAAAAACATTGATCTCATGCAGGTGTGTCAATAGGATTCATCCTCTGGATACCACAACTGTCAGCAAAAACAAAACACAGCAATCCATCAGACGGCCCAGCATCAAACTCCACAGCTATGTTGATGACACACAGTTTTACGTCAGTGTATTTCTTGATGACTTGGGGGCAAATAAACGCCCTATTAAACTCTATTTCAGATATCAAGCTATAGATTAAAGATTATTTTCTACAGCTCAAACAGAACAAAACGGATGTCTTGGTCACAACCAGAATCAGTAGGCTTCATTCTCTGGAGACCATGACTGTGGGGAAAACGATTTCATAGCATTCTATCTGATAATTGGTGACTTTTTCAGTGTGGACCAAGTAGTGCCAAATACCCATCTAGCCATAGAAACAGACCGACATTGAGCCATGCTGCTCAAAACAACAGGATAACACCAACCTCAAGCGCTACTTATACAGCAGAGTACAGTGCTTTTTGTGATTATTTTAATAACAGTTACTTAAATGACAGATGTAAATGTAGAGAATGTTTCCAATTATTTAAGGATATTTTTGTCATGTTTAAGCTATTTGAGCACATTTGTTAGCATTTGTTGCTTTTGGAAAACTCAAACCTTGTAATACACATTTGGGGAAATGACTGACCGTAAATTTAGAATGTTGACGTCAGCTTCTTTGAGAAGAACAAACTCTTTGTTGATAATTGTCGGCTCCTTCTCCCCCCCAAGCGTATGAAGACTCAGAACTCACAAAACACTCATTCTGTAAATAAGCCAAGATTACTGACAAGCTGTTGGTACAAAATTTCATGGCATTCCATCTGATAGTTGGTGACATTTTCAGTCTGGATCAACTGCTGCCAAAAACACATTCAGTCAAAACACAGCCCAACATTACTACTGAGCTGCACTGCTCACATTGCTTCTACCAGGACAACACCAGCCTCAGCACCCTGCAGCACCGACCACAGTTATGAGACAACCTGTGACCCTACGTTCTGTTTAACACATTATTCAACACCACAGTCAGATTTATTCAAGAGTGCCATTAGTCATGCTTGAATCAGTTTAACAAGTCCAAAAGGGCTTGCCTCACACCTCAAGAAAACATGAAAATGCTCCCAAGTGATCAATTTACAAACTCAATTTACGCTGTCTTACTAAACAAACATGTTTAAATTCAATACTATGTGATACAAACAACTAACTGGGCTATATAAGATATGTGTTGCTGTGAGCTCACATGATATAAAATGTAGTTTAACTAAGTGAGAGGCAATTTAAGTTTAAAACACTGTATACATCTTTTAGCACAACTTTGAAGGTGTGTTTGGCTTCAGGTAAAATTATCATTCAAGTGCTTCAGTCAGACTCCTTGGGGTTCAATTATAAATCCAAATGATAAGCTCTTCACTAATACAGTGCAAAAAATAGGGTTTCAACTCATTTTTCCGAAGCCTTCAGAGACTCTTGCGTGCACTGAATAAGGAAGGTTTAAAGAGTTTATTAGCACTGTTAGGGTTGGGGGATTTTTGCAGATATTTCTGCTCTATTTGGCAATGAACCCTACAGGATGAGACACAGGACACAACACACACAAACCTTGCAGCATTAAGACAAAACATTGATGCCTTTCACTCCACAAAAGGTAACTGGTGAGATGAACATAGGTCATCTGGTTTAATGATCCAACATTGACCTTTGGGTGAACACTTCAAATTGAAATCCTAAAATTAACAAGTGAAGTGCAGTTCTTTCTGCCGTATTAATTCTCTGAATTCTCAATCCTAATAATCTACTAAAAGCACCCTTGAAAACCCGAATGCAAAAAAGAACACATTTTTCCAAGACAAACCAGAACCACAGCTCAGTTTGAAGGGCTATTTTCCATTGAATGCTCTATTTAAGAGCGAAATGAGTTTATGCTTGAGTGACCCTCTAAACCAGAGACCCAAGAAACCAAACAGGAGGCAAGACTGTGAGCCTCGTATCTAATACCTCAATGAGTCGAAAAGAAATCTGAAAAAGTACCATCGCATTTACCTTTAAAGACTCAATTCATTTCCCATAAGATGAAATGCATCTTCATGTTTTCTCCAACAACAACACCGTCACCAGTATTGTCATCCTTTTGAGGGTGAACATGAAGCTCAAAGGTTCCTGTAACCTCTATTTATTCCAGACATCTTTTGAAATAGCAAAAGAGAGGCTTTTTTTTTTTCTTGCCTTTTGTCGAAGAATTTAAAGAAACATTGCATTTTTCTTGTTTCTCCCTGAGGTCATTATTGAAGACAGCAATCATACAAGTCTATATTCCAATTCTAACAATCAATAATGCATATTCATGTATATTTATATCATCATTATGTACAAGTATGTGTCAATAATATAAAGCAGTGCACTTGCTCAAATTGCCCAGATTGTGCTAAAAACAAAATATAAATATTCAGATAGGTTTCTTGCAGTGCTGAATTTGTAATTTTTTCGATGGTAAGAGCCCTGAAGCACCAGTCAAATTAAATCAGTACATGAACTCAAAATATGAAGCGAAGGTAGAGAAAACCTGTGTTAAATGCTCTGTGAAAGGTAGTGATGGTTAATAAAAAACAAAATAAAAAAAAGATGTTCAGAGATCTAGTGTGTGTGAGGCAAACGTTGTTGAAGCATGTGTGCATTTTTTATACTGTTATTTAAATTGTGTAGGAGTGTATATAGCAAGTGATTATTTCAATTTTTATTTTATTTCTTTTTCAAAGTTTTGATCTGCCACTGCACTTTATAAGACATGTTTGATACCAGACAACCAGACCAGACATTTAAAAAAACCAACACAGATTCTTAAGACTCTGCTTCTCTAATTTATCACATTTCTTTAAGCAAACAAAACCCATCTGACCCTTTATCCATTTCTCAATCACCTAATGTGCACTGCCAGGAAACACTGAGAAAACGTCACTTTTTACATGAGCCAAACTTTCATACGGTTCTGCAGTTAAGGTCCACACGTAACACACAGCAGCTGGGTGTTGGGTTTGTTAGTTGCAGCTGAAATGTAGATGAGACTGACTGATACATTTTGCAGTGTCAGTGACAGCAAATACTGACGCTGCCAGCAGCAACACACTAATAACACCAGCTTCACAATCAGGAGAACAATTAACAGTCCTTAATTGCTCTCTGCAATCATGATAATCACATAAGTAACCCAAAGCTCAATTAAGATTGACTGTGTTAGCTGGAGATATCGGAGAATTAGCAGATTAATCATGTAAATCCTTTATTTTACTGCTGGAAAAGAATGGTTTTATTACTCACCAGGGGGGGCGCTCTCGCACTCCTGTAAGTTACACTTCTTGCTGCTCTCAGGCGGCGGCTCGTGGTCACACTGAGCTTGATCCACTTCTTCATCCGTCTCAGCTTTAGTATCAACACATTTGATGAGCCGATGCTGCACTCCGCCACCACAAGAGGCTGAACACTGCAGAGAGAAATTAGAAAAATGTCCAGGTGTTCTTTCAAATGTGAAAACATTTTCCTTTTTTTTTGTCGTTTTGTTCATTGTCACAGTAATAAATCAGGGTTGCCTGACCTTTCTTTTCTCCAGGTATTACATTCCTACTGTCATTTCAGTTAAATCTAAAAGGGCCGAAATCGGTGTTTTGGGTTGGCCTGTTACATACAATTCATCAGCACTTTTAATCTTGCATTCGTATTTATTCTCTCACTGTATACAACAGGGAGAACCTCTGAAGCCGTCTTCTCCTCTGTGGTTCCCCAGTGGTGGAACGAGTTACCAAGCTCAATCTGCTGACTCCCTCTCAGTCTTTAAGAAAAGATTAAAGACCAGCTCTTCACTGAACACCTTTGCACTTGACAGATTGAAAACAAAAACAACATTTCCTATTACCTCCCACACAGCCTGCTATTGGCATCAACACCCTAACACACTTGAATTTGTTCTATGGCACTTATCTAGACTGTTTTCTCCTGACTAGATCCTTGCTTGCTTGTGTAAACTTTCTGGGAAGGGATATCTGCTCTCAGACGTACGTCACTTTGGATAAAGCGTCTGCTAAATGAAACTGTAAACGGTGATCCTATGTGCTTCAATAAAGGGCACCTGGACTTCTCTTTTTGGTTCCCATCATCCAAGAGGCTTCTTTAGTTCTAAGTTTCTGATTTTCACCCCCCACATCACATGGCTAATGGCCCATTAGTGACCATAACTTGAGGCGTGAATTACCACCATAAACTCAAGGTGTTGGTAAAACTGTCATGGTGGGAAAACTTTCTGGGAAGGGATCTCAGGACTGCATTATAAGTACCTAATAAATGGTGTACTCAGTTAAAAAAAAATGGCTGGGCGTCATGTTAAAGATGTTTAACACTTTGGGTTTATGGTGGTAATTAACACCTCAAGTTATGGTCATTAATGGGCCACTAACAATGTGATTTGGGGGTGTAAATATATTTCTGGAACTCCCAGTTAGTTAGAGCTGAAGAAGGCATCTTAAAGAGGCAAAAAGTGAAGTTGTCTTTGACTGAAGGTCCTCGGAAAAAATGGAGCCATTTTTTACATTTGGTCAAGCTTGAAACTTGCACTAGGCTCACAGGATCTGGAAACCCTGGACGTTATTCTCAAAATGAAATCCCAACTTTTTTTGAAAATAGTCCCTTGTATGTGTCCATTTGTTCAATGACGGTCAGAATACAAATCACACTGTTGAAAAATAACTAACTAAATGCAACACACGGAAAATATGTCATAACGTGTAGAATTTCCTCAACTGCCAGTCAATTAGAACGCTCAAAATTTGAAATACAGAAGACAAGTTTGAAGGTGCTGGGTCAGTCTGTGTACTTTCTTTGGTGTTTCTTGGGACGCAAAGTTCTGTAAAATATTGAGGCAGAGTTTTTGGGAATATCGTGTTTTCAGACCTGGATATTATTGTATTTCCACCATCAAAAGTTTGGAGATGGAGCCAGTCTGTCTTTTGAGGACAATTCTATGTGTCCTCACAAATTTCATGGTTCTGGGAATGAAATGACATTTCTGGAGATATTGGACGACTTCTTTCAATTCAAAACAGAGAACTTTGGAGGCCTAAAAAATATATATAAATAAATTTCTTAAAATTCAGCTAAGATGTTTTATAGAAATCAGCTTTTGGCACCAATGAACACATTCATGAAGACTGAACTAAATCTGACCCAATGCAGCGACATGTTTCCTGAATTCTGTCTGGACTGACCCTGCAGTGGAAACATCTCTCGGCTCAAAGGCCTCGACTCTCCTGACTCGCATGCTTTCATTCCCAAAGCCTCGCTAGTCACATTGTGTTTCTTGCCTCTTTCTCTTCATCTAAAGTTACAGCATGTGCCTTCCCATCCAATGTACACGTAGCACAGACGCATATAGGCTCCATTATAACATCCATCCGTCAGTGTGCAGTGATGCTCCTCCTCCTTTTCTACCCACAATTTGTGACCCTGGCTTCAGAAGTCAAGGCCCATCTTTGAGTCTATTACAGTGAACGACCTGCACTTAAATACCACTTTTCTACCTCAGTGGTACTCCAAGCACTTTATAATGTAAATGCCAGTAGAGCTGCACTGCAAGATGTTCGCCTGCCATCTGGAGAAACCACCTGAGCCACGGCCTCCACGATTACGTCACCACCATCCTATACCTGCTCCTTTACTTAGGTAATAAATGTCAAATCCTGAGCTAGGATCCTTGAATGCTACTAAATTTCCCTGTATTATAACAAATAAGCATTTATGTTACATCGTGTACGGTTTGTAATGAACCACATTACAGGATTTCTACAGAGACTGAGCTACAGAAACTAAAGACAGAAGCTTCTGAAAATGAATCATGGGATTTACAGTATAAATAATTTACAGACCTGTATGCGAGTTAATTAAAATGTCACTGAGTGCCGTTTGTCCCTCCGGTAACAATAATAAAGCAAGTAAATGAAAGGGAATGTTTCATGACGTTGATCCATGTCTCCAATCGAGTGGGATTAACTACAGTGGGGCGTACCTGTCCCCAGGATCCAGTGAGCCACTGAGCACACGGCTGGATGTTACAAGGCTGGATGCTGCTCGGCTGAAGGTCCCTGTCACATCGATCGTCCTCTGGACAGGTGACGATGCGCTGCTGCTCGCCTCCTCCGCACACCTCAGAGCACTGCACAACAGGAGACGAAAAAACACCAACATGATGAACCTGTGAACATCGGTGTTTGATTGATTTTGGAGCTTACAGACGTAAAGCACGATCTGAGGGACATGTTTGGTTGAAGATAACGATTTCCAATGATCTAGAGATGCTGAGAAAACCCAATACTGTTCTTGAAAAAAAAACATACAACACGGATCCTTTAATTGTTCAAGTGGGGATGGTTCTTGTTTTTAACATCTGGATGTGTAGAGGGTTCTACAACATGGCAGCAGGTAAACTGAAGGAGTTTCTGTCTGCATGCTTAACTGCAGCTACGGTACATGAACACACACTAGCCACCATATTACATTTATGATAAGGAGGCACAGATATTAGCCGTGAACACTATTGACTGGATCTATTTCTACACTCGTTCACGTTTGCACAGCAGATCGATTTGTTTTCACTAAGCGGTTTCTAAGCATGTTGCTGAATGCTTTCTCTGTACTTCCAAAGAAGCCCCTTTTTGTGTTATTTCGATAAAAATCTAATTGCAGTAACTTGGCGCTACTTCACGGGGGTAATCCATCAACTGTGACCAATTTGTCTTTTCTTCTTACATAATTGTGCGGTGGCTCGGCTGAAAAGCGTGAATTGTTCTGAAATGTCACACTTGTTGATGAGTTCAAAACCTGTGGGAAGCTCTGAAATCTAAAATTTCCACTGCAAACCACTGCACTAGTTCATAAAAAAAAAACAGCTGATTGTCTTCTGAGCGTCTTTTTCGCTTGTGGATGAGAGAACTGAGAACTTAACACCATTATACAAAACATCACAATTTAAAAAAAGAGACAAAGTGTTTACAGTGATTGCTTTCTTTGTTTTTGTTTGTCGATTTGCAAGTGCAGCATTGAAATGGACATAAATAAACAGCTCGTATAGGAAGACAGAATGTAATGCACTGAAAAAGCACAGTATGGCACACTTTGAAAAAGAAAAATGGTGTATAATCCTTGAGGACATGTTGTGCTGTTGATGTTCTGTCCAGCCACAATTTATTTGAAATTACACAGAGGATGCTTTGAATATATTTTTTCCATCCAGCATTTTGATGTTGCATATGGTGAAGAATCCTAGTGGGACAAACACACTGAAAGCTGACCTAAAATTGAATGTTTTATATTGAGCATGTTGTCAAGCAGCACATTTAAATGGCACATTACCTTCCATCTTCCCCCATTTAGAAACTTTAGAGAACACACCTTTGCATGTTTCACCGTGTTTATTATTCTTTGTGCTCCTCACCTGACCCCAGGAGGAGCTGTACCATTCGAGACATGGCTGAAGGTTGCATGGCATTTGGGTTTGCGGCCTCGAGGACATGGCTCTGCAGTGGAAAGGTCGCAGGGGCCTTTGATCCCTCAGGTCGAAACACTGGACATCTCTTAATGTGATGCCGCCTTCGCAGCTCTTGGAACACTGGGAGAACATACGGCAGCGATTGTTATTCAGCCAATATGAGCCGCTGCAGCTTGTGTGTGACCTTGAGTCTAAGCCGAAGGATGACTTACAAAAATTCCAGACAGCAACCTGATGGACCTGAATGTATTTAAACCTCAAAGAAAATCAATAAAAAAAATTCCAGGACAACTCTTATCCAAGAAACATGTCACGCTCTCTGACTGACTCACTTGTTTGGGACCTTTAATCACTTCAGTGGCTCATCTTTTTTAGTTTTACACAAAACTCTGATGAGTAATTCGAGCCTATGTGAGGCTGTACACAGGCAAAACATCACTGTGAGCTAAATGCTGATATTTACCAGGAATAACGTCTATTTTATGTTTATTGATTCATTTCAAAACATGCCACAATATCATAAGGACAAAAAAGAAAATAAGTTACAAAATAAAAATAAATCCAAAAGTTTTAAGTCATGTCTGAAAAGGATGAAATCTAATTCCTACCTGCTTCATGTGCATACATTTCATATTTTGCTGTTTTCTATCTGCTTCAAACCTTATGCTTATCGATATCTTAAGAAACTCTTAAAACATCTTTGCTGTTACACTTTATTATATACTTCAGTCTTTGTTGGTACATTTTCTTAAATTGTTTTATAGTTGTACTCATTTTGAGATCGTCATCGCGACTATTTCACAAGTTTACCCCACAAACTGTTTAACATGGACAAAATCTTAAACCCTTTCCAGACATGTTCTCCTTTCCAGTAATCTGAAGGCTACACTTAGAGACAAACAAGCACACTCACATTAACACCTACGGACAATTTAGAATCACCAATTACCCTCGGCATGTTTCTGGACTGTGGGAGGAAGCTGAAGAACCCAGAGAGAACCCACGCTGCACGGGGAGAACATGCAAACTCCACATAGAAAGATCCGATGTGTCCTAACCGGGATGCAAATCTAGCTGTGAGGTGACTGTGCTAACAACTGAGCCACCGTGCAGCCCAGCTCGGAACCGCACAAAACACAAAATCCAGCAATGTTCAGGGAATAATTCTTAAAAACCTATTCTACACCAATAACCACAATACCTACACTGATTAGGACAGTATAACAAGTAGTCTCACCTTACTCCATTCCCCAACTTTCCAGGTAGAGCAGGGTCGCAGGTAACACCTCTGAGCAGGTGCAGGCCTCTTGGCTGGATCACAGTCGGAGTCTAATCCAGTGCTGCAAGCCAAAGTTCTCCAGATGGCTCCCAGACCACAGGTGGTGGAGCACTGCCCACAAATATAAGAACAGCAGTTGTACTCTGTGACGTGAGGGTCAGATGCTCAAACACCTCCAACATACAGAACTCTCACAGATAAAAATGTAGATTGTAAGGGTTTTTTATGTGTGCATTTTAAGAATATTCATGTGATGCAAATAAATGCAAATTCTGTAAGTGCTATGTACAACAGGGCAAGGATGTGAGTAGACGGCAAATGCACCCTGAACATTCATTATTTAAATTGGCATCAGCTGCATTAGCGCTAGGTCACACTGTGTTTCCAAACAATTAAGTGCACGGGGTTATTTAATTAATGTGTACTTACAGCACTCCAGTTGCCAGCAACCCAGTAGGAAGCTCTCGAGACTTGTGTGGAGGCCGATGCTGGGACAGATGTTTCCTCAAGAAGTGACCACAGAAGAGGCGGGTGGGTTGATAAAGACGGCACAGCAGGTGTTTGCGATTCAACGTGCTGTGCTGGCGTTATAATGGGTCGAGGAGTGGATGCTGTGCTTGTTGGAAGCTGGTACGAAGTGTCGGGATCACTGCTAATGCGGCTCCTCACCATCGGAGGAACCACTATCTCATTATAGTCGAAATCAAACGGTGGAGTTTGTGACGTAGGACGAGTTCCAGTTGTGTCAGTGGAAGCAGGCGTCTGTTCTGTTGCAGCTGTCAGGAAATGATCTGGAGAAGGCTGAGTAGCTCCCTCCAGGTTTGTAGGAGGTATGATTTCTGTTCCAGTTAATGATGTGGAGTCATCAGAGGCCTCTTGGTTACCTGAGATTAGCAGAAAGGGAATGGGGAGAGGAGTCGAGTTCTCAGAGGCAGGAAGGGGGGTTTCACTGAGGTCCAAGTCACTATCCCATAAATTACCCTCACTAGTGGTATGTATTGGATTAGAATTAGTCTGAGCTGTGTCCAAATCCTCCACTGTGAAGGAAACTGGAATTATTGCATACTGGCTGGTTGTTTGAGGTATTTCCGAAGGACTTTCATCCAGTTGGATTTCAGTCTGAAGCTGAATTATCGTTTCTGGCGTGGGAGATCCTAAAGGTTCTGGACTCTCCAAGTCTTCCTCATCTGCATAGATATACTCATAATCATGATGTTCATTCGTCCCCTGAGAACTCACTGTTGTAGAGACAATAGTACTGGGAGCTGTGGGATGACTGGGAGTAATAGCAGCATGTTTTGGAGTCACACTGACATCCTTTTCAGCCTCTTCCCCGTATTGCCCCCATTTCACATCCTGTGTGGGCTGCTTTGTGGAGAAAACCAGACCCGGCATTGTGCTCGTGTTTTCAGGCCTCCACAGATTGCCATGTCTGTCTTTTGAAGTTCGCTGGGTTGCAGACAATGCTGGTGAGCGAGTGGTATACACGGGCAGGAGATAATCCTCAGAAAGAAAGTCATCCACAATTTCAGAATTTGTTTCTTTTGTAGCTGCATTTCTACTCTCATTCCCATTGTCCACTTTTGTGTTCTGTGGCTCTTCAGTTTTCTGTGTGTGGGAAGTGGCCTGTGAAGCTGTAGAAATGGGAGCTGTGGGAGCTTCTGTAGTTTCCACGTAGGCACTGTGTTTCACACTGGGGGTTGGCTGGATCTCCTGCGGAAAGCTATCGTCTAAATCGCTCTCAAAGTCATCTGACAAGTCTTCATGGAAGTTGATGAAGTTGTAGTCGTAGTAAAAATCGTCCACTTGAATGCGGTTTTCTTTAGAGTTGTCAATATTTTCAATGTTATTGTGGTAGTGAAAGTCTCCCTCGACGATGTTGTTGAGGTCGTTGTGAACTCTCGGCTGGGCTCTGGTGGCGCTGTGTTTGGGAGGAGGTTTGACTTCAGGTATGGGATTGATTTCATTGAGCACCTCCTTGCTGGACCAGCCGCTGCCAGACCAGTCGATACCTCCGAAGTTATCCACAACTTGCGGACAGTCCTGGACGTAGCAGGTAGCGACGGCAAGAGGTTTCTTGTGGGGGTCACAGTCGATGCCTGTGTTTCTAGAGCAGGTTACATTACGATGACGTACTCCGCTTCCACAAGTCAGTGAACACTGCAGGATAGAAAAGACAGCGGCAATAGTAATTACATGCACCAGGAAATCCATGCTTATTTTTCCAGCTGGTAATGTGCTTTAAAACATAAGAAACACTATACAATATATAATCAAAAGGACATTTAATAAAGTACACATTTCCAGTCAGGAAAAAACCCAAAGTAAATACAAATACAGATATTTAACTTTTGAAAAGTTGATGAAAAAAATGGTCATTCTGCTGACCTAATCTTCATTTCAAATGAAGCGGCTGCAAATCCTGATCGTCTGTAGTTATTTTGCACTATATGGGTCACAACCAACCACAGTACTGGACAAAAGAGTCTACAGCAATGTTAGCATCTCTGTGGAACTGTAAGGAATCATGGTCACTTTGCTTAATGTCATTGTACGCTGGAATTATTTATTATTTACTGAATCTACAATCTCCACATGTACAGGATCTGCAAAACAAAACGTTGATTATCTTGTGTTTATGTATGTCCCAGTTACCATTTACAGCCTCATTTTGTTATGTGTGTTGCATCATCTAATTAGCATGTCAGCATCCTACCATTTGCTAATTAGACGATGTTGTGTTCTGAGTGGAACATTTCCTAATTAAGAAAGGCAAGTTTATTTGTGAAGCGTATTTCAACACCAAGGCATTTAAAACATAATAGCAAGCAAGAACATACGGAAGAGTAAAGTGCAAAAGAAAGCATTTAAAGGTTGCAGTGCAGATGGCATTAGACATGAAGAACAAATGAGAGTGACGGGAATGCTACATGAAAAGGTAAAGCTGAGATGACTCTTTGAATCACGTTTCATGGCAATTTCCCCAACAGCTGTGGAGATTTCTGTCTGGACTAAAGTGGTGCACTTAGCGACTTATAGAGTCACCAGCGTGGCTAACAATAATGACGTCAAGGACAGAGTGGGACAAAAGGTTAAGTGAAACGAAGGAGTCAGGCCGCAAATGCTATAAAAACACCTTCAGGCACGTTTCAGTTTCAGAGGTAGTTTTAAAGGTCATCGATTTATTTATTTCAAGTTGTGTCTTAGTGTGGAAAAACGGATACAACAAAAAAATACAAAAGACATGACCTTTGTGCAGCAGGACTGCAACTAACATTTATTTCACGGTTGATAAATGTGGAGATTGTTTCCTCGGTTAATCAGTTAGCTATTTGGTCGAGACATGTCAGAAAATAGCAGAAAATGTCGGCCGATGTTTCCCAAAGCCCAAGATGATGTCCTCAAATGCCAAAGATATTCAGTTTATTGATACAGAGGAAGAAAGAAACCAGGAAATTCAGATTTAAGCAGCTGGAATTTAAGACTTTTGAATTTTTTTGTTGTTTTTTTTAAATTACGCAAACCGATAATCACTATTCAGTATATTTGTCAGTTCATGTAATAGGACACAAAACAACGATTGACTGATTAATGTTGCAGCTCTATCATGTGGTCACTGCTGTGTTGTATGAGTTGATATGAGCCTTCAAGAAACCGCTAATATCATACATTATCTCTGACCCTAAAGGTTTTAACAGGTTTTGAAAAGCTTGAGATGTGAAAATGTCTTGTGACAAATGCTGGAAAAATTACGAAATGCACAAAAACTAGAAAATAAGAGCATGATTCATTTTCTCTATAGTTGTGGTTCTTCACAGAAAAAAACAAACAAAAAAACATGAATGTGGCTGTAAAAGTGTTTCGCTACAGGCAGAAGAATTTACAGTTTCATTTTCTTTATTTTTTAAGTTATTTTTTTGGCCTTTGTGCCTTTATTTGACAGTGTAGTGAGACAGAGACAGGAAAGTGGGGGAGAAGAATGAGGGGAGGACGTGTGGGAAAGGCTCATGAGCAGGATTCGAACCCATGACCTCCACATCGGGACTGTAGCCCTGTACATGGGACGCCAGCTCAACCCGGTGAGCTATAGCAGCGCCTCCAGTTTCATTTTCTATCAAAGCAGACAAACAAGAGCCTCATATTCCAGCTGAGACTCACCTTTGACCAGCTGCCGGTGGTCCAGTCGGCCGGACAGGGGATGTGAGTGTTGCAGGAGGACAGTGACTCAGGTTTGGGGATGTGTTTGCAGTCACTGGGCTCCAGGGCTTCCTGCTCCTCCACACTCACCGCTTGGATGCAGAGAACCGTCCTTTTAGCCAGGCCCGAGCTCCCACAGCTCGCCGAGCACTTCTGCCACTCCCCGACCCACCATCTGCATGAAAGATGCAAAGATTTCCAATTTACAGGTGTGCTTGTGATGGAAAATGACAGTATATTACACCTCAGTGTGGTTTTACTGTCTCCAGCACACAGTGACCATATTGTGTCTTTGAGGTGTTAACAGGATTGATGGTCAATCAATGCCTCAGGATTTACTTCAGTAAACAATTTTTCTGGCCCCATTGAACACTTATTTTTAGCTGCACAGTGACGAACTACATTGTTAGAAGCAAAAAACACACCATACTGACACTGTTTAAGCAGACAACAGAGACAGACAGTGGAAAAAAGTTTTCTCCTCCATGAGTGCAGCGTGTGTTATTGGTATATTTCTTTCAAAGCTCTGAATAACCAAAAGGTTTTAGAGTCATTATTAAAATCATATTTGGCAGCGTGAACCTGTCTGTGCTATAATGCACCATTGTGTTGTTAAAGAGCCAGTGTGTCGGATTTAGTGGGATCTATTGCAGAAATATGATATAATATTCTGAATTTTATATTTATTCATAAAATTACTGAAAATAAGAAATGCTGTGTTTTTTTTCCCGCTGCCTCTCAAGGCTCCCTTTATGTCTACACAGATATAAAGGGATCATTTCAGTGATCACAGTTGTAGAAGTGGGTTCACCATGTTGCACCACCATGTTTCTACAGTAATGAACAAACCAAGCGCTGGCTCTGGAGCGGGCCTATCGCGTTTTTCACATTTTCAACAACCATCTTAGGTTAGCGTGAGGCAGCAGGTATTAAATTGGTTGTAATTTCTAATCTCACCAATGATGTCATTAAATCCTACACACTGGGTGTTTCAGGAAAAACTGCTAGCTGTTTTAAAAGTGTGGTTGAAGTGCTAAGCTAAAGCTAATTAGCCACATAGTTCTTGGTTTACCACAAAAAAAAACTGAGGCTATTCATTAGCCACCACACAGACAGTTAAGCCAACACAAAATAGTTCCATAACATCAATCCGTCCATTATCTATACACCACTTAATCCTCACTAGGGTCGCGGGGTCTGGAGTCTATCCCAGCTGACTCAGGGTGAAGGCAGGTTCACCTGGACAGGTCACCAGTCTATCACAGGGCTACACTTAGAGACAGACAACCAAGCACACTCACATTCACACCTACAGACAATTTAGAATCACCAATTAACCTCAACATGTTTTTGGACTGTGTGGGAGGACGCCGGAGAACCCAGACAGAACCCACGCTGCACAGGGAGAACATACAAACAAAAAGAAAGATCCCGGGTGTCCTCACCGGGACGCGAGCCGGCAACCTTCTCGCTGCAAGGTGACAGTGCTAACCACTGTGCCACCTTGCAGCCCAGTTCTGTAACAGTTATACGCAATAAGTTTCCCACAAGACTGCTGAATTTGATCAGTAGAAAGGGATCTGATCGTCCAATGAGAACACAACGTTACTGCTGTTTTCCTATAAAATGCACAAAATCACAAGTACTGTACTTCACTTCTACAGATCATCACCAACAATGAAAACTGGAATTATAGCTATTTTAGAAGGCGATTGCAAAGAAAAAACCTTGATCATCACAGTTGGCAAAATACCGGAACCGGCTACATTTTTGATTTCTTTTGGAGGCTGTAGACATAAAGATCAAGATCGTTTTGTTATCATGAATTACTGACGTCCTTCATCATGTTAACAATTTTCACCTTCACAAAATACCCGCAAGAGTTATCTGTTAACTTTTTCAACAGAAATAGTGCGCAATGGCTCAAGGTTGGTGCATTTTGTGCTCTGCCAGATTCTGAAGCAATAAAACCGGTGCTGATTCATTGCCAAAATGTCCTGTTCTCAGTGGAAAATGAGCTGTTTCTACTCTCACAGCTGCACTTCAGTGTAATAAAGTCTGTGAAGAGGTTAGAAATAAACTTATTTGTCTGCCAAAAGGGTTTTTTTTTTTTAAGTTGAACGAAATAGTTATGTAACTTTTTCTTTTCAAAATACCATTATATGCACAACTCTGCAGCACAACGGCGGTTACATACAGTATACAACATCAGTGCAATATAACGTAATCCCTACAGTTAACCCTCCGAACAATCCAAAACAAACACTTTGGAAAAACTGTCCTGAAAAACAAGGCCCCCATGGTAGAAACTGTGATCACTGAAATGAAATTGAGTACAACTGTGATTTTCATTCAGCCAAAACACATGAGCATGGTTCGTAAATGATCTGTAAAAACCAGGGGCCTCGTTTACCATCAGTGCGTACGAACATTCCTACGCAAAGTATGGAATTTATCAACTTGTACTTATACTTAGGAATGTGCGTAAATATACGCACAACTCTGACCATGCGTACGCACATAATCTAGCGGAAGAACAGTGAAACTACAAATAGAAAGCATTCAGGGATTTTGACCACCAGTGTGAGGTTGGAGACGTATGCAGGATTTCCAGCCACCACTGAGCAGGATCTTGCCGGCAGTGTTGGATGACATAATTTTTCAGGCCCCTGCCTACATCCAGTTCCCTTACAGCCATCACCAACGAGCCCAAATCAAACGAGGACGTCATTCAATTAATGTACAAATAATTTGTGATGCACATTTGTCGCTATCAAACGTTGATCTGGAGGAACGCACGACTCATTAATTGTGCAGAACAGCTCTGTGGGTCTTCAAACAGGAGCTGCTGAAGATGGCTGGCTTATTGGTGAGTGTTACAAAGTGTGGGTCATCTGTAGGTGATCAAGGTTATCCACTGGGTGAAAGTTGGGTATTGATTTGTCCTCCTCCAGTTGCAGTCATTTCTCTATTATAGGCTGTGACATGTTTTTTGGCAGTGAGTTTAACATTAAATCCCCCCTTACAATACTTTCTGGTTACCTTCAACCTCACTGACAAGTACCTCAATGTCGGTTTCTGAAAAGTTCCTCCTTTGCCCTCTTTGCCATGATGATGAAAGCGAGGGGAAAAAAATATCCACTTGTTTTATAAAGAGGTGTGCTGTTGCCGTATATGGTTAATTGGAGGTGTTTCTGAAGGCAAATCATCCCAAAAGTGCACGAGCACGGTGGTTAAGAAGAAGTGGGATTCATCAACACTGATGACATACTGATGTGCGTACGACCCACGTACGCATGTTTGATAAATACAGAGTTTTTTGTATTTACACACATTCTAAATTTCACTCGTACGACAGAATTTAGAATCTTTTCTACGCACTGATGATAAATGAGGCCCCAGGACTTTCTAAGTTTTGGATCTATGGGTTGTGTCTATCTGCATCATGGCTTCACATGGACTACAACTACCAGAGGAACAGAAAAATCTAATAATATTTCACAAAGATGTAAAAGGATAGTGGGAGGCTGGCAACTACAAATCAGTTGCAGCAATAATCGGGAGGCATAAAATGAGCCATAGTCCTACTAATCACAGCTGCAGTGGTTGTTCTCCTAAAAATGAAACTACCAACAGTGGCGTAGACTGCCACAGTGAACGTATGGTCCTGACAATGAGGCACGCAGGTGGAGGTGAGACGATATAAAGGCAGCATGATTGATTATATAAGATGATTAGATGACATTTACATATGGCTTCATGAATGCTTGTGGATATCCTGAAATACTGGCTGACAAGATGACTGCCAGTCTGCAGAAGCTTCACAGAAAACGAATCCAAGCACACCGCCAATATCACACATGATTTTCGAATGAAGAACAAGTGAGAACTATGACCTGGACAAGTATTTCACCTGGCTGAAATCCAATAGAACACCTGTGGGGCAGCGCAACACAGCCTCCTCATCAAAGAGCAATTGAAAAAATGTTTCTGAAGAATGGCAGAATATCCGTACAGATATTTGCGCAGCATTGGTATCCTCCATATCAAAAATCAAAAATAAAGGTAGACATACAAAGCACTACATAAAATAGATTTGTAATTAAACTAATGTCTTTTGTTGCAAGTTCCTGCAAATAGTATGTCTAAGCTGCTAGTTTTTAGTTTGACAGTAGTGCAAATACCCTGCTGTTAAACTTTAAAGTACCGCAGTAAGAAAATACAATTTTGTCTAATTTGACATGAGCTCACTCCTGTTGCATACTGGTAGCTTGGATGTTTGCTTCCACACACACTGGAAACTACAAAGTGTTTGCTTCTGCAAGGTCTGAAAAACAAGTCTCCCTCCGAGTACGTGGTCAGGCATCATTTTACAAATAATGTCTGGAAGGTAAACTCACATGGCCGGACAAGGATCCCTGTCACAGCTGGTTTGGTTATCGTCAGGTCGGGTTAAAGGGTCGCATAAGTGCTCCTCAACTATCCCAGTTGTCTTTTCCACACAGTGAACAATCTGCCTCTGAACACCTGGAATACGAGAGAGGAGAGAGAACAGCTTTTGTAACACCTTGTGAGCAACTAGTAGGTCAGTAGGACACAATTCCAAGTGACTGACATTCATGGAATATTGAAACAAACATGAACATTTTTTTTTATTGTGCAAATTATAAACCCACACTTCAAGTTTTGTAAAACATAATTGAAAACATCGTAAAAACATAAATCGATTGAGCAAAATCAAAACATTTCCAAACCAACAAGCCCTAAAATGGACATATGTCAGTGAGCACCACTCATGCAGGTTTCCAACAGTGTTACACAAAGCAGCACATATAAAATTTTGTCTCCTAAGGCTGTGGCAGGTTGATCTCCTCCCCTCCATCATCCCTCTCACCCTCCTCAGGCGAATATCAGCCTGACAGAGCAGCAGACATCTCCCATCTCCACAGTGGCCTCTGCTCCGACCCCGCCAAGGGCCGTAATTTAGATCTCATAGCTAATTTACACCTTCATCTCTGTAAAGGTAAATACAAGACAAGTAGGATTGAAAGCCAGAGGGAGATGGACAGAGAAATGGAGAGGTAGAAAAAAAACTGCATAAAAAGCTCTCCATGCTAATGACATGCTGCTTCTTGTCTTAATTTAACCCCTACTTGAACGAATAGTGCTCTGTGACATTGCACTGTGGAAGACATTCTGCTCTCATCCATTCTGAGCATAGGAAAAAAATAAGGGCACAGTTTTGCATGGCAGGTTGTCTGACCCAGTGGTGAATAAAAAAAAACAAAAAAAAAGAATTTCACTTAAGGAAATTGAGGCCAAGATGTTCTTTCTACCATAACAGAACACATAGTTGCTAAAACCAGTGACGCAGGTGAGGCTTAGAAATATATTTTCTGCCTGAGTATTACGCCTATGCAATATGTTGTCTCAAATGGAATAAGGTGAATAGGGTAGGTTTGTTTCTGCAGGTACATCTCCGTCTGCACTTTTTTGTTCTTCACTACACTGAAGCATTTGCTCTAAAGGCATTTGCAGTAATAACTTTCACCTTCAACTTTTTGAAAACCAGACAGCACACACAGAAAAACAATTTCCACCGATAATACACGGATGTTTTAACCTTGGCACTCAGAAAGAAGCAACGTGGAACCTCGCTTCAAAACAGTTTGCCATGTTAATGTTTGCTACAGTCTGCACAGAAAAGCAAAGCAATGGAAAAAAATATATATGTACTTGTTAGAAATTGTAAAAGGGGCTAAAGCCTGAGGCAAACTTCTGTTAAGCCAGCCTGAATGCTTGATCCTTGAATTCCACAGCACTCGAGGATCAAGGCAGTCAATATGGGAAACAAAAACGCTCTACACAAGATCGAAAAGCACCACAATGGCAGAATCCAGAGGATCATTAGAACCTCAAGTTAGACTTCAGTGTGTTTTAAAACTCAACCAACCTACTGAATGTGTCTATACTCTGAAACAACTGTAGGTTAATGGTGTCAGTGCTTGCACAGTGTCTATAGAAGGCATTAACTTAATTGAAAGTTTAAAGTCAACATTGAATCATGGTCATTTTAATTGGGCTTTTCTGACCAGTATTCACATAAAAAGAACATTTTCTATTGAAGTGTAAACAGATTTCTAGTAATGCCATGCAGTTAAAAACCAAAGAGACTGCATAAGCATTCACCAGCTTCAAGTCAGTATTTGGAAGATGTGACTTTGCCTTCACTTAGCCCTGGAGGTCTGGACATTGCTATTTTACCTCATACTTCTTTGCAAAACTGCCGTAGCTCTGTCTGGTTGCACAGGGACTGGGAGTGAAAAGCCCTTTTCAAGTCCAGAAACTAAATCTCAGTTGGATTGAGGCCTGGCCTTAAGCCCATTTCCATTTGGCTGTTTGCTTTGGGCCGTTGTCTTGTTGGAAATCAAATCTTCTACTAAGTCACTGTTCTCTTGCAGGCCGCATAAGTTTGTCCTCCAGGATTTTCTGATGCTTCATTTTACTCACAGTCTTTGCAAGGCTTCCAGGGCCTGCTGCCTACAAGCGTCCCCACATCATGATGCTGCCACCGCCATGCTTCACTGTGGGATGGCGTGTTTGTGATGATGCACAGTGTTTGGTGTCTGCTACACATAGCGTCTCTTCTAATGGCCAAAAAGCTCAATTTTGCTCCCATCAGACTAAAGAACTTTCTTCCAGTGGACTTCAGAGTCTCCCACATGCCTTCTGGTGAACTCTCCTCGAAATTTGGCAGAACTTTTTTTCAAATGGGGCTGTAAAAAGCAAATTCGTTCCCTTTTCTTAAAACTTCATTTGTCAATAAATTGCATCTGAGCAGGTCTGCACAATTCTGATCACGAAGGCAAGGTCAGAGAGTTCACCAACTTATCTGCAGGCTCTGCTGTTGTTTATTTCCTCTCTTTGTAACAATTTATTGGTACAACCAAACAAAAAAGAAAACCTATACTGCCAACACAGCATAATGCAGTTTGTGTTGCCATAAAAAAAAAAACAGGGCTCAGTGTGCCTGAATAAAGTTTTGTCAACAAAACCTCCAGTCAGGACACACTTGGAATGAAATCCATGTCTGCTTTTTACATCTGCTTCTGAGGATGTGCATTCAAAAATAGGAATTGCAGATTAACTCTCGCTCTCTGTACACCGACCAACTCAGCTGTGGCAAAGCTGTATCTCTTACCTGCTCCACAGGTAACGCTGCATTCAGTCCATGAACCATATTTCCACGAGAAAACCGACGCCGGGATGTTGTTGTCCTCTGACACATTTTGACTGATGGTGTACTCGTACCGCACTCCTGGATTGGTCTCCTGAAAGAGAAGCTTAGAAAACACACGAGAGAAAAATGTAAAAATTCAGGAGAAAACTTGACATCGTAAATATTCCCAGGAACCAAAGAATTAGGTCACAAACTATGAGTCTCTTCTTTATATTTGTTGTTTGTTTTTCTACCTGAAGAAAAGGTTTTTAAAAAAGGATGGTTTATTTAAAAAAGCTAAAAAATCTAACAGGAGGTTGACGTTCCTTTAAAAGCAGCATACATATTTTTCTGCTTAAGTGCATAACTGTACTGGGGGGGGGGCTTTAGTTTGACAAGTTTGATCTTAAAGTCCTGCACAGGTCACTGATTTATGTTAAATATGTCCTGCTTTTATGAACCCTGCCAATATATATTTCTGTTGTTATTTTTGTTTATTTCCATTGGTTAAGAAAAACTGGACTGCGGGAATTTGCAGAAAAAAAACACCTGAATTCCTGTTTGTTGCCCACAGCTTTCCTTTGGCTTTAACACCTGCAGCATCGCACAGCAACAAAGACTGTAGGTGTATCTTTGATTGAGTGATCATTGACAGTGGTGGCACGGCAGCAGTGACTTCATGAACACAGGATATGATAGTAATATTAGATTTTATGTACAGTGCAAGTATTTGCATTGAAGCTTGTCTGGATGAATTCTGAGCTCCATTGGATCCATCAGGACATTTGTTATTAAAATAAACCTGTAATTACAGAGACAATTCTGTTTTTCAGAGTTTTAATTGTGGTATGAGAGTGGAATTAAGGAGCAGAACTTTCTAGCAGCTTGAATAAATCAGGGTTCCTCCATAGTCAGAGTAAAGATGACATCTTTGGGTTTGCTGCATATAAAACTCGACAAGGTTGAATCTGTGTTTTTGAGGCTGTTATTGGTTGACTGCAGTTTCAAGGTGGAAGTGCTCAGCTGTGGTGGTGATTGCTTGTTTCTCTCGTGATGTGTCTTCTAGTCTATAAAAACGGCGTAAGGATGTGTTTTCACGGTAAAATAAATTTGATTTTGGGTTTGCAAGGTGGATCGGTGGTTAGCACCGTCACCTCGCAGCTGGAAGGTCCCTGGTTTGCGCCCCGGTTGGGATTTTTCTGTGTGGAGTTTGCATGTTCTCCCCGTGCAGTGTGGGTTCTCTCCAGGTTCTTCGGCTTCCTCCCACAAGGTCCAAAAACATGTTGAGGTTAATTGGTGATTCTAAATTGTCCATAGGTGTGAATCCCCTGCCTTCGCCTTAAGTCAGCTGGGATAGGCTCCAGCCCCCCATGACCCTCGTGAGGATTAAGTGGTGTATAGATGATGGATGGTTGGATGAACTTGATTTTCACCAGAGGGTATATTTCAATACCGCATGGACATAATAGCCTTGTCAGTCAAAGGTAATGTCCTCCATCTGGGTAAAACTTCATGCAATTTTGATGCAAACTCACCTGATCAAGACAGATAATCAACTCTGACCATGACCTTTTTCACCTTGAACACAGAGGACATCCTCCATGTTAGCAGCACACGATACATCAAAATGCCCAAGGTGTTTTGTCAGTCTTTTCTGTCTCATTCACAGAACACTTTGGTTTACATTTTTATTCTGTGGTAATACCGTTTGTAGAATTACAGTCAATTCAGGACAGCAAGTACAAGTTTCATACATTTTTCCATGTTAACTATATGCATGTAGAAGTGCTTTATCACTGAAGGAGACCTTACTTTGACTGGGGAGGGTGAAGCTGTGACTTAAAAAAGCCCAATACTTTGACTTTTTTGTCAGTAACAGCTGAGAAATGTGTCCAAATGTCAAAGTGTAAAAAGCTGCTTTAATCTTCTTTCCAACTTCATTTCTTGACTCCATCCCACGACCTGCAGCTCAACAGCAAATCTGAAACCGCTTGCTCCTGTGAGATTTGCATTGGGTGCCGCCGGATCTGAGTCGTCTGCTTTCATATAGTTATTTTTATCAGAAATTCACCTGTTCTGGCTAAAAGTACAGGCAGTTCAGCACTGACAAGGCATCACAAAGGGATAAGAAGGATTTAATTGTACCTGAATCCACAGCGGCTCCATGGTGGGTCCAGGTGACGTCAGGTTCTCCAGGTGTCCCGTCCTCTCGTAGGTGAACACTGTCCCGGCAGCCTTGTACTCTCCGTTCCACTGAATCGTCCAGCCACCGTTCAGAAAGTACCTGTTGGGGTTGTCGCCTCGTAACGCCAAGAAGTTCCCAGCTTCGGCCATTTCCTCGATCCGAATGTCCCTGGCTCCCTCTGGGATCAGCCCGATGTCTACATACCCTGAAGCACACAATAGAAACACAAGGTAACCTGATGTAAAGTAAACAAGATAACACAGGATAAAACTTTATTACTCCTGAAGGAAGTTCTTGTGCCAGATATTGCTCAGAAAAAACTAAACAACATAAGAAATACAGTGTCTAAAAAGTAGAAAAACAATAAGATGATGCTGAAATAAAAACAAAAGCTAAAATAGAGCAGAAAAAAGTAATACTGGCAATTACACTGAGGTAATATCAGACATGATAATGACATATTGCACCTGAAAAATGAGATAAAATTAAATGAAATGTTGTCCATTACATTGACAATACTGTACATGAAAGTGAAATATTGCACATGTATTCAAAATGATGCAGATTAAATTGATTAGTTACACATGAAACTGAAATATTACACCTGAGAAGCAAAAATACAAAATATTGCACATCACATACTGCACATGAAATTAAACTATTGAGACGCAATATTGCAAATGATATTGATATTACTGTTTAAATGTCTGATGTTTTAGCCGTCATTCCTGCAGAAAAGGGAAGAGTTGTGAATAGTGAAAACAGTGGAGAAGATGGAGGAGAAAAAAATACCTTATTGGACTGTTTTTGGTTTATAGCAACATATCAAAGGGGGAAAAAAGAGGTGACGTTTTCTTCACAACTGTCTGCAAATGCTTAGTTAAGAGTGTTAAAATATTACAGCTTTCTTCTAAATTTTACTCAGTATTGTCATAAATGATAAAATACAGTAAATCCTTCTTATTGTGGCCAAAACAATCACATTCAGCAACTGAACAAGTGTATGAAACACACTTCGCTGACATGGTTTGGTCCCTTTATGACTGCAGAAATATTATGTAATAATACAACAAGCAGTTTTCCTTTAGTGACATGTCAAATATTGTCTGTGAAAAGTCCTACTGTTAGAGCAAAACGAGTCCCAAACATACCGAGTCCTTCACTCTCTTCAAACGTTCTCTTCACAGTCGTACAGGTGGACCCGTTCCCGTGACAGACCCCACAGCGATCCTCCACAGCGCTGGAGTCGATCACGTAATCACAGCCGATATTCTGTCACGCACACAACACACAAAAAAAAGGAAAAAAAAAAGATCCATCATAATGATAACAGACGTGTCGCCGTTTGGGATGTCAGTTATCATTAGCTTCTTAAAAGATTGCGATTAGTGCCAAATTTTTATGAGAGCTTGATTAAACTTTAAACAGATGAAGTACAGCAGAGACACTTTGCTGCCTTACAAATCTATGCCTTGTTAATAAATAGAGTAAAACTGATCAGTGCTGCTTTGTCATTTCTGTCAGTGCTGCTGCTCCCACCTGGTGCAGAAATAGATCAAATATGTGATGCAAATGACATCGTTTTCCATATAAATAAGCCCTTCCTGTCCTAAAATGGTTTGGATGTAACTCTCTACCATTGTTTGCTTTAAAATATGCAGATCTATGACGTCCCTCGCTGCAGCTCGTGCACACCAGCTCACCTGTAACGCTGCTCGAACACTGCAGAACTTCTCTCCTCTAATGGCAAGTTGTGACATTCGTGTATTCGCATATATGTGAAACCAAACTCGGAATTTCAAAGAAGAAAAATGATTTGAGAAGCACCACCTTGCATGTCGACGGGACCAGATTCGTCAGTTTCTTACATATGAAACCTTTAAAGTCTGATCGGTGTTTGTCATCAGTGCATTGCAGTTTTTAGGGGAAAATGCTCAGCAGTGGTGTCGACGGCTTCATTTGCTCATATTCCCTCTAGCATATCGACAGCACCTTTAAAAACAGAATTTTCCCCAAAGAGGGGCTTTAGTGAAATGTATTAGCAGCAGAATATACTACTTTAAATTATTATTATTGATGCTTTAATGCTTAGAGGTAGAGCCAAATTTAATTATTGTAATTCGGTGCTCTTGGGTAGCTTTTGGCGTCCCCCGAGAAATCAATTATTTATCAGTTTGATCACATTTTTGTTCTTTATTATATTTTAAAGGTTATTATGCCCTCAGTTACTTTGCATCACTGACAAAAAGTTTCGTTTTGATACTCTGGATCTACTCCTTGATCACATATCAGCTGTTCATTTAAAATTTAAAAAATATATATACTGATTTGTCTGATTTTCCAAGACACAAATTATGGCAGGGACGTCAGTGGGTGCCTGACAAAAATGTCACAAAATGTCATCAAGTCAGAGCCCAGAGTTCGTGGCTGCTGTCCGGTCGGTATCCAAACCAGGCCGGATGTCAGTGAGTGGCATTTTAACCCGGGGTGATAGGCGACAACAGGCTGCTATCAGAGGAGATAACAGCCAACACATTTTTCTATCAGCGTGCTCATTGTCACGCAGAATGTCAAATGTACAAACAATCGCCTGCAGAGAAAACAAAGTGAGGCTCAGTTTAATCCACTGCACGGCTAACAAAGCGGAACTGCACCGAAATGAAGCAAACACAAGAATCGAGGTGAATCAGTACAAACACGACTCAGAAAACACTGAGGAAAAACAACTGAAACAAGTTTGGACTCGTGTGTGCAGTATTGATACCTTACAGATGCCATTGATGCACATATCTCGGCTTTTGCTGCCTTCGTAGCACGGCGTCCCGTCGGTTACGGCGTCCCGCATCTTCTCAGAGAAGTGTTCGTTCAGAGGACGGCAGTGCAGCTCACAGGGGTCGACTGAGGGAGTTCAGAGAGACCCGACAGTAAAAGGAAGAAACTGTGACGCTAGATCTGAAATGTGCTGTTGTGTATAGAAGCAAGTTGTTCTTCTGACCTCTGTTGATGACTGATTCCCACTTGTAGAACTGGCCCTTGTATGGCAGCGTGTTGAAGTGGCTGCACTGGATGTTTCTGAAGCTGGGCAGCTCCTCAGGACATGGTGCCGTGTTACAGATCTTATACCTCCGTCGCTCCCCCAGACAATACTTCCCTCTGTACTTTGGACTGAAAGATTGTCAGAACGTCCTTTCAGTGCTGCTCATTGACTTTTATGAGTGAAAACTTTGAAAGTAAAGAGGAAAAGCTTTAGATATGTACGAGGGTGCTTCAAAAATGTCTCGCCCTCACCCAGAAACAACTCTCATCACATTCTGGGGCATAACTGTACACTATAAAGCCCAGTGGTGTGCTGTCTCTGCTGGCCTTAACTCTGTCAGAATCACTGACTTGTGGTGTAATATTTTCACATTAATCTTTTACATAATTCCCAACCAATAGTCTCTTCTCCTCATTTCATAGCCTGCTTCTGGGCTGGTGTGCTTCTAGCAGCGTATGTTTATATTGGAGCTTTTTTTTTTTTAATCCAATCATATTTCAGCCATCATGTGTTTCCAGGGTCACAGAAATCTGCCCTGAGGCCTTCAGAATCAACAGTGCAGGCGCCTGTAGCTTAAAATACATTTCAATGAAACTGTTGCTTGTACCAATCAGATTAAGAGTTGGTGGTCCCAGGGCCATCGAGCAGGCCTACGATGACGTCAGCGCTTTGACGTCCTCTGATTGGATGGTCAGAGAGCTCAGCCAAAGCTAACGGTTTGTATCTACAGCAACCTGCACAAGCTAAAAGTTTATCGTAAAAGTATTGTTTTTTGGTTATTATTTAACTTAAGCAAGCAGACATTCTCAGCCTTAAAGCGAATTCAAACTCATGGCAGAAACAAACTGGACAGACCCGACTTTCAGCGTCAGACTCCATGACGACAGAACAGGACTTATTGTTGGAAGTGAAACACACGGATTATCTGCTCAACAGAGTGACTGAACTCCTCATGAGGAAAGAAAGAAGGATGTAGATTGTGTTCAAATAATCAAAAATTTTGGTGAGTAAAATATTTGTCATTTTATTGGGTTGATATTGATGCTCCTGTTAGATGTGATGTATGTGGTGCAGCTGTGACTGCAGTTAATGGAGACTTGTTGAATTGTTTTAACTGGGTTTAGTGATGGCGTTCAATCTCACTACATGAGATACCTGTCTGCAATGCAATGTCCTGTTATGCTGCCTTTCTGCATAATACTGATGGTTTCTATAGCCGTGGCGTCATAATGACGGTGTTAAGACGTGGTTTGATTCATGTAGGACGCCACTGAAGGCCTCGGAGTAACATGCACAGTCCACCACTGATAAAGTCTTATATCACTGTCCACTGAAACTCACAATTTGGAGCAACTGAAGAAAAAACAATGTGTCCATCCAGTCGGTACAGGCAGAAACCATTTGACTTCTAGAAACCAGACGATGCATGTCGGGTGAGTAAGGTGCACGAGGCAATCGTTTATTTGTCTGCTTCTAACACCTTATTTGCTGTGTGGACAGATGATTGTCCAGGAGCAACAACACTGCAGCTCCAAGCTTTCCTCTCCTTTTTTCTTTGATTGCTCCGAATATTTGATTTTTTGTTGACAGTGACATAAGGCCTTATTATCTATAGTTATGCCCCAAAATGGGAGTCACGCCCCTTGTTTCCAGGTGAGGCTGAGAACTTTTTAAGTCCCCTCAAATGTCTTATTTAAAGCTTACAAACAGTTGCATGTACAACATTTAACACACCAGATGAACATAAAAAAATGAACCTCAGACAGTCATGGCTGCAAGTTTCACAAGAAAGCACGTATTTTTCTCTGCTTATCTCAGGATTGTTATTTTGTTTCTTTTTGCACCAAACATGTTTTCAAATGTTCAAATTCAAGGACCGTCAATGGAAGAGGCCGACCTGTTTCTGTTAAATGGCTACAATTACTGAAAAGCATCTTTGAAATCTTTTGGTTTTGAAGGACCAATAATTACCAAGGAAGGTTCATTGATGTTTGGTGTTAAAAATGTGCGTTAAAATTATTACATGATTTCTTTTCGCACCTCACTACTTAATTTTTCAAAAGCTTTTTTGTTTTCACGATTGATTGAGGTCCAATTTGAGTAAATTAAAGAGAAAACATATTTTCTATTTCACACAAAACAGCAGGAACATTTCTCTTGTTTGGAGGTAGCGAATAATCTGTGGTGTTTGTCTTTCTCAATATTCAGGAACAATAAAAACCAGCTAATAGAATATTAATGGGTATTCATTAAGAAAATGTATTTACAAATGAAACTGCAACTCAACAAAAACATGATATATTGAAATCCATCTGTCTTAATATGTTCTTTTGGCTTTACTCTGTGGATAACTAACAGTTTTTGTGGTGATGTCAGGTTTTTGTTGGGGATGTATTGGAATATTCTCTTCGCTTGTGTCATTTCTTGTGTTATTTTGTGCTTTAATTTGGTTCCCCTTTACCATTTCACCTCCTTTCCTCATTTGGAGAATTTCAGTTGGATTCTGCATGGATGGATTTTCCAACCACTACAGTTTGCTTCCCTGCCAGTCTTTTCTTTTACCTCCAGTAAGTTTTACTGAAGTTCTTTTTGTTCAAATATCAAATATACTGTCTGGAGTCTTCTTTTTGGGTCCCCTTTCCTGATCTCCCTGTAACACTGTCACCTGCAGGCTACTAGAGAATGAAAATGTGTGAATTAAATGATGTCCTGCTGCTTCTTTCATTATCTATACATCAATCAAAGGAGGCCACCTGCTCCGGTTTGCCTCAAAACATCTCTTCTTGTTCATACGGACTGACAAACTGTCATCGAAGTACAAGAAGTTTGTGAAAAAGCATTTTATTTTACTCATGTTGTTGTGCTTTGTTTATCAGCTGTTAAAGGTTGGATGGAATTTTAATCACATTCAGATGCATGTTTTCTATTTTGTTATTCAAGTAGGAGGAATAAAATGAGCAAACAACTAAACTTACACGGGGTTGTCGCAGTCTCTTTCGGCACTCTGGACTCCAGCCCCACAGGTCCTGGAGCAGGCCGACCACTCGCCCCAGGACGCCCAGCCGCCGTTCACCACCTCAGGCTGCTGTCCAACTGCGACGCACTCCCCACTGAAACACCACTAGTGAAAAACACCAGAGGTTGTATTTATTAATAAACCATGCCTGCAGAATACAATGGTCTGACTGCATCTCATCCTCATCCTCATCATCCTCATCCTCATCATCATCATCATCATCATCAGCATCATCATCCTCATCATCCTCATCATCATCAGCATCATCATCATCCTACTACAGAGGGAAAAGATGCTCTGCCTTGTTTGTGCTTCTTTAATTGAATGGTATTGTGCAGCGCTAATGCAAAGATGGATCAGCATCTTACCTGCAAAATCGTGATAGTGGGGATTGTTTTGGTGGAATATTTGCACACAAGGAGTCATTAAAGAGGCTAATTCACACAAAAATAGCAGTGCTGCCTTACTGCATGATCCAAATCATCTGCTAAACTTGATGTTTTCATTGTGATATGTTGCTAGCCTCAAGATTGTCGTTTATTGAAGTGATGGGGATTTTGAAAATTGCAACGTGAAAATGTGCAACAGGTTTTTTTATTTCTTATTTAACCTTTATTTCACCAGGTGAGTCCCATTGAGATTGGCGTCTCTTTTGCAAGGGAGCTCTGGCCAAGAGGGCAGCAACAAGCCTTACAACAATACAACACAAACAATAAATAATATATAATCACTACAAGGCATAAATACATGAAATACATACAGTACATGAGCACTCAATTAAAGGAGCTACAGACTTCTGTTTTTACAGACTGTAAGACAGACAGCGCACATCTGGTGAGTCAGACTAATGACTAAACAAACATCTTACTGGTCAGAAATAAATCTAGTGTCATTTGCATGAACCATTTTTTCCAAAATACACACAGAACATTTTAAAGTCTGTGTTGTGATGCACTATGTATTTCAAAATTGTGTTGGGGTTCTTCTGCACATAGAACTCCTGCAGTGATATAAAGTGGATGCAGATAATCCACTGGAACTAAGTCCACCACTGAATACACTTCCATCAACTCAAACAATGACTCTCAGAAAAAAAATATGCAAACATGCTACCTGAAAGAAACCGTTTGAACTTGTTAGAGAAACTTGTGACAATAATTTGATTTCTAAATTAGAAAGCACTTTGGCTCATCGTCTGTTGATTTAATTGAACTCAATTGACTGATTGTGACTTGAATTGACCTTTACACACAACTATATAATTACTGTCATTTTAAATGTCATTTACTAAATTAATGATGACATGCGACGGTGAACTATTGTACAAAAAAAATCCTTTTTAAAAGTTTTTAATGAACTAGTTTGCTTTGAAAAAAAAAATCATTATTATAGTGGCATTATTTAGCTTTAATGTTTTTTAATGGTAATCTGGGGTGTTACAGGTTGCACTTATCTGGCACAAAGAAACTGATGCTACAGATTGTGTTGATGTAGTTTTCTAATACCACAATCATCATCCTTCAGTATTATTATAATAACACTGTTAACAAAGGAATGATTTACAGTTCAGTCTTCATGAACGTGACCATATTTAAAGGATTGCGGTTGATGTTCCAAAAATCTTGCCTTGTTTCCCCATGTTGACTGATTTCATCTCAGTCAAATGCAACTTTTACAAACTGCAGATAATAAAGACTTCTACGAAACCAGGGCCTTTCCTACAGACATAAAAGATTGTTGCCTATCGCTAAGAAAAATCTGAATTCTTATCACACCCCCCCTGCTCCGTCCTTTCCTTGTTATCAAATGAAAACTCACCTTGTCCTCACCGCAGCTCGTTCCATCCACAGCTCCGTCCAGCTTTGAGTGGCAGGTTGTTCCCACGGTGCACCACAAAGTGCTGCAGACATTCTGAGAAAACACACAGAGCTTATTTCCACAACACGAGTACACAAACAGAGATAAGTCATTAAAAATATCAGCATTTGGTGCTCTAGCAGTGATTGTAGCTGCTGGTATTTTTCCTTTATGTAGCCTACATTCTGTCTGTCAACGCAGGCCTTTCATCCCTCCATAGTTTGATTTACAATATTTGTCTGCCTGAACTTTGCGGTTCCACTTGAGTTCAAAAAGATGTCATTAGTATTGACAGATAAAGTGCAACCCGACTCACAATGCCTAACGTTTGTCCTTGCTTTGAGAGATAAGACGCGTCATCTGTTCAGAAGCAGCACATCAGATAAGGATTACATGCAGACGCTATTCGGCGAGGACCGCTGATCTCCCACCTTCATCATAAAGTCCATATGAAAAGACAGCCTCGGGTTGTGTGTGAGCATTTCTGTTCTTTCATCCTTAGATGCTGCCATTACTTCCGTGCATCAGGTCCAATTCTGAGAGTTTTTAAAGACCTTTCTGTACGTAAAATGTGCACACCAGTTTAAAATCTATAATTTCAAGCAGCAGTTTGGCTTTTTGAGGCTTTCCAGAGTTATCTCTGTCGTGTCTGCGAGTCTGAAGTCAATTAACTTTGCTTACAGTGGAAACAGGAAGTCTGGCTCAAAAAACAAACTCTTCAGCTGACTAATTAACTCCTTATATCACGCTTGTTTGATCTGAGCTGAAATCAAAGTGTTAAAGCAACACGCCGGGGTTTAATGGTGGGTTTTGTGGCGGATTATTAACTGACACAGTAAATTCCTGGAGGTTTATCATCAGGCAGCCCGGCCAAGAAACCACCACAGCCGTCATTAACTGCTGTGTGTCGCTGCGTCGGGGAGTATTTCTGCTGACCAAACATATATAAGATAGGATTTACTGAGAATCCTGGCAGATGTTACCTTTAAAGCTGGCCAGGTCTGCTGTTTCACCTCAACTTCAGGCTTTATGCTAAGCTGAGCTAACCATCTCCTAAGCTCAAGCTTTAAATTTATCTTATCAATAATTCATATTTTCATCTATAGTTGCAACAAAAGGTTTGTTAAATCTGATTAAATACAAAAGTAAATATTTGTATTTGTTGAAATAAAGCATTTCTTGAAGGTCAAAGTGTTTCCTTTGCATTGTAATTGCGTTTCCCTTTTCCTCTGTTGATGTACAGTTTTTAAGTTTTTAAGTCTTTCCTGCACACGTTTGTCCTGAAACAGCATTAAAACCAGTCAACTCGGTTTCCTTCAGCTGCAGCAGGAACAGCCAACCTGAGGCAGCGCAAGTGGGCAAAAGCTATTATGTACATAATCACAATTATCATCGTCGTCGTTGCCTTTGTGTGCATTTTTATATTCCTGAATTCTAGTTTGGGTTTTGTGTAATTATGGTAACAGATGCTAGAGTTAAGCTTTGTCATCTGAATGTTTTAATACACTTTAGATTTTTGGATAAATAAAAATAACACATTACAAAGCAAGCTTCAACTGAATAAGAAAATAAAACAAGATGTTATTATGCAACAGTTACTCCGACTAGGCTGAGGGTCATTTGCACATTATTGTTATGTTGAATGAATGACAGAGTAGAAAGAGTCAGAATAAATATTCTAAAAATAGTCTTCATAGTCTTTTAAATTTAAGAGCTCAAACTTAGAGATATTTTTCAATTAAAAATGATCGTAAACATGTCATAGTTGTTATTATGTGTGTCAGGGAACCCCATTTGAAATCATCCATGCCATTATAGATATTTAACTGTAGACACAGTCACAGAAGAAGCTGAGTGTTGACAGGTGGGCCTGTGCTGTTACTGAAGACAAAACACATTATTACAGATCGCAGTAGACCTACAAGGACTTTAATAGAGACTGTGACTGAAAATAAAATCAAATAAAAGTGTTTCCTACTGATGCTACTATACACCAACCCCAATAAAGTCCCCCTTTAGTTGTTCTAAACTAGTTGTTTAGTTGTTAGTTGAGCCCCTCATGCCTTTTAAATGATTTAGCTGTAACTCTAATGCCTCTTCCTCTAGAATGCGCAGATCTATGAAACCACTGAACTCATCTACGCCAACCTTAACACTACTATTGCAGCTTAAAAAATAGAATATTGTGAAAAGAAAGAGACTTTAATAAAGTCAAATCATGTTACATTCTAGACTCACAACACATAAAGTGAAATATGTTTGAATTTAGATGATTATGGCTTGAATAAAATCATAAAAATCTGAAATCCTGTTTGTCAGAATATTAGAATATTTCATTTTAAGTTTGAGTCAACAACTATTTAAACAGCTGCTATCAAATCAGCAGTGCATCGGGCTGGTCGCTTCAATCTCATGCAGCACTGACGCAGTAATTTGTTATAAAGGAGCCCCAACAAAGTATTAAATGTATAAACAGACATACTTATTAGAAGTTGGACATTTCTGGATTGTAAATCCCTTTTTGATTGATCTTATGAAATATTTTAATAATCTGAGAGACTGGATTTTACATTTGCATGAGCTATCTGTCAAACTTGAAACAAAAAATGTCTTAAAATATTTCACTTGACATTTACTGAGTACAGAACATATATTTTTTGAGACGCACTCGTGATTCTGAAGAAAAATGAACACAGCACACGACACAATGCAAGCTGACAGGATCAGGTTTGCAACATGTGAAGCCTAAGAAGTCTTCTTTTTGTCATCGACACACTGCAGTTTCAGGGTGGAAACATTCTGCCATGGTGCAGTAGACGGCTTGTTTGTTCATTAATTGTCTTCTAGCCTATAAAAAGACACAACATGCACGTATTAAGGCTAAAAAAAAAACTAGATTTTCACCAGAGGACGCCTTTAACAAGCAGCAACACCCACTTTTGCTTGCATCTCCTGCTGTGCTTCCCTGCTCATGATAACACACACTGCATGTTCACATTCCTGCCAATTAATGGAAGCAGGAAGGTAAAAGAGCAGAATGAATTCATGCTATGAAGAAAGAAGGCTGCTGGCTGATGCGTAGCAGTGCAAGTTTCTAAACAACTGCTTTCCAAGTAATTTTACGAGGCCTCACAGATGCACTTCATACATTTTGGTGCAAAACGATGACTGTTAACTACATGTGTTTACAAGCAAACAGGGGAAGCACTTGGTTACCATGCAATAAAAAAGAAACTCTTATGAAACCATGTGAGTGGGGTTTTGTAACCCGACTGGATTTGTTGAATTTTCACACAGCAGGCTGATGGCGTTGTAAATGTGGAAGCAGCACACGGTTGTTTTTTTAATCCAGGAGGCAGCCTGTAAACTCTTAACATGTTGTAGCTTTATTTTATAGAGAGAAACTATATATAAAACTACAGTATTGGTGGAAAAATGCATGTGTGGTCTCCATCTGTCCAGTTTTAAAAGCTCCCTGCCTCATGTAGTTGCATGTATGGTTTATTCATATTTGCTCCCAGCTATAACATTCAGCAGCCTTGCACACCTTCGAGACTCTGAAAGGAAAATACTCCCCTGCAGGAGTTAATCACAAAAATTCAGTGTCAAAAACGGTGTGTGTGTACCGACTCTATACGTCAAAAACACTCAGCGAATAAAATCCTTCAGCCATTAGCTTCAATGCTGAGGTCGCTTCATGTCATACATTATCCACGTCACCACCGCCAGCAACACAAGATGAGATTTATATTTATGCAGTTGGTTTAAATCCAGTTCGTGTCATAATTCTATGATGCATAAATGAGACGCGGGTTGCATGCATTTAAAAAAAAAAAAGAAAAAAGAAGTGATGTCAGCTTGTCAGGCCCTGCTGAGGTGCTCACACAAACAGCAACCTCCAGGCTGTTAGAAAAACCCTCAGGGCTCAAGTAAACGCCAAGATAGCTGCTCGTCGGATGTTCAGATAGCTTCTGGAACCCCTTCAAGATGGGAGATACCGATCCAAAAAAAAAAAAAAGGAAAATGGCTATCGGGCATTCACACCACCTCGAGGAATCATTAGCCAGAAGTGCAGAGGTGAGGAAGGAGCCAAGGTTTAATCTTTACAACATCGTTTTAATTAATTCCTAACAGAAACCATTTTTTGTCACTATTCATGCGAGCAACACACTGCAACACCACAAATATATTTTCCTCAAGAGTGTCTGAAAACACTTTGTCATGCTCATATTTTAAAAACATCGCTGACAGAAATGACTGGGAGGGAAAATATAAAGCAAAGCAAGACCTGCATTAACCTCTGTGGCACGGTACACACCATGTTATTATGTGCTGCACAGCTTTCTATATTGATTTGTCAATCAATGACAAAGTAAAAAGGGTTATCGTCTTTTTATTACTACTATTTAGTGTTTACCTTTAGGCTGTGATTGTGATTTTATGCAGACACAACAGCACCTTTTGCTTCCGTCACATTTTTCCTCACTGTGGACTCATTTTTCACTGCAATATAAAATCCTGCACCTCTATGGAAACAGCAAAATCATGACTAGAAGTAGAGAGAACTCAAACATGTCCTATAGTAGTATGAAGAAGTCGTAATGCCATAAATTATGAACAAAGAAAAAACATGAAAGTCCAATTTCCTTTACAAAAATGGGGGAAAATAATGAAATCAACAAGTACTTTTTTACTTTTTTACAAGTGTCCCACAGATGTTCCAAAAAATGGTGACACCGCATACTATAGATATTTTACTACTTACATTTGTATTTGTTTTCATACTTGTACATACAGCTGTAGTTGAGCTCATTTTAACTAAAACATCCCTGAATTTTTGTTATGAATGACTTCAGTTTGCAGATCCTTTCTTAAAATAGAATCTAATTAGAGCAGATGGTTTATTTTTCAGGATTTTTTAAGTCAGACAAGCAGAATAAATTGATTTTGATAAAATATCAAACTCAAATTTGGTGATTTTTTCCATCTGAAATGCGTGTCACAGATCTTAAGAACCATCTGGATGATATTTATCCATCAATTCTTTTAGTTTTTTCAGTTTCTGTCTCGGATAAATGGAGTAATTTTGGCAATTTCCCGAAAAAAAAACCACGTCTTTCGGAGGTGTTCAGAGGGTCACAATGTCTATTTGAAATGCTTTTGAATTACGTCTAATAAGCGTCTAATAAGCCTCAAAACTGTAGAAGTGTGATTCAAACTGGGCTTCTGGAATCAGAATTAATCTTAAGGGACAGACACTCTTAGAGTCTTTTTATACAGCGCTCAGTCAGTCTAAATGCAGCCTGAGACACTGAGCTACAACCCGCACTGACGTCACCGCCTCCTCTTCATGTGCGTCTGTCAGGGTTGATAGAAATCAGAAATTTACTGTGTTTCGTCTCAGTGGGGAGATTGTGAGATAATTGCTGATAGAACAGCCTCTCAAAGATCCAGCATTCGAAAGGTCACACTGAGCTTTTAACGCTCCATCTGAGTGGGTTTGGTTATGAATTGCTAATGGCAAGAGAGCACAAAGTTCTGTGTAATGAGGATTGGTTAAATCTGCACATTAGCAAGAAGCAGAGCAGTTATTATCCAGTCTATGTCTGGATTAGGTACAACCACACGGCCCCAAATAATGATTGAGGAAGCAGTAAATTAAATTTGCAGACACCATTCTTGAACCCAATCAGCTTAAATATAATACATCCACACTAAACAGAATGTGCCCTCGGCCCCAGAACATATTAAATAATCTATTTAGTGTGTGTTGTGCCACAGCAGATTGAACAAAACACATGCGAGGACTCAAAGCAGTGAATTGACCCAAGCTGGGTGGATTGGGTTTAAATTTGTGTCGCGGATTCCTTCAGGATGTTGACAATGTTGGTAACACAATAACGGATTGCTTTTCAAGCTACTGTTTGTTTGCCTTGTGGCTCTTCTACATGGTACGACCGTGATTACTGTTTTATCCTTCAAGTGGTCTGAATTGAACACGTTTTTGTAGGAATGTAATTTCCATGCTGTTATTACTGTGTGATCAGACACTGGTGGTTTTCTCCTCTGAGGGTACATACATCCTGCCTTTATTTACTGAGTTAGGTTAACTGTGGGGTGTACGCAGGCTGGAAAACACAGAGAACAGGGCAACAAGAAGGCAGAATCAGTGAGATTTTTGGGTAATATTTTAACTTACTATCTTAATATTCTCCTTAAAGGGGTTAGAATTGAAGACCAGTCAGAAACAAAGCAGTCAAACACAGGGCAAAGAATAAAGGGTGTGTATACAGAATGCAACACAAGTGTTTCTCACCATACATGCAATATCATCATCCAGTGTTTCAATGTTGTCAAGCTGAACAGTAATAGCTGAGACTGACTGTGTTAAAAACACAGGCTCCACAGCAGGACCTCAGTGCAACAAAGGTCAACACATCTTTCACTGACGAGATTGAACTCTTTCATTTTTTTTAATACTTAGAACATCCACCTTTATTTTAAATGGCAGAATCGATCCTCCTCGGCATTTATGATTTAAAAAAACATTCTAAGAAAGATTTTCAGCCACTCTACAGAGACCATTTTTGTCAGCTGCTCTTTGCTGAAGGGGTTGTTTTGCTCTGCTTTTCTGTTTAAAATACCCCAAAGTTGTTCTGTTGGATTCAAGTCAGGCAAATTACTTGGCCAGGACACAGTTCTTACTTTGTTCTTCGCTAAAAACTCTTGGGTGATTTTGAGCAGTGTGCTTAAGATTCCTTTTCTGTCAAACTTCTGCAGAATGGAAGTCGTCTTGTCAGCCAGTAAATGTGGTATATCCACAAGCATTCTTGATTCCATTTACATAAACAAAGTGTGTCAGAAAAGTCCCAGGACTGGTGTCACAAAAGATATGTTTCAAATCCAAACTATAAACTACAAGTCTTCCCCTTCCAAGTAATCCCCCTGGAGTCTAACACACTTCATGCAGCCCCGAATCATCACACTCCCACCTCCGTGCTTCACTGTTGGGACTAGCTATTCACTGTGGCAGTCCTGGCCAGATTCAACCACACATGCTACACCACAACTAAGCTGAACCAAATTATTTTGACCATTATCCAACCAAAGAATGTGCTTCCAGTATTCAATCAAGGCCTCTTTTTTTATGTAATTTGGAAAACTGTATCTTGCAGCTTCGTATCAAACAGCAAGCGTGGGTGCCTTTCTTGAACACTTTTCATAGATGGTGATGCTTTGATGCACTGTCCTTCACACTGTTGGAGCTGTCACAGAAACACAGATTTTGATTGATAACCCCTGGTGCCAAGTCTGAAGGACTTGTCTGTGTGATTTCAGACGTACAAGCAGCACACTGTCTGTGGTATAAATTTTGGTGGACAATTACTGCAACTCTAATTAGTGGCACTATGGTTTGTTCTATGCCTGCTAATTACGGCTACAGCTGTGTTTCCACTGATTCATAGTTGGTCACCAATCTGTCTGTAGCCTTTTCCATCATTGTAAAGTCTCAGTCAGATTTTTCAGTTCCTCTGCCAATTGTTTTCCACGTGGAGCCGTGATGCAGACATGAAGATGGACGCAGCCCACAGGTCCAAGACCAGAAAGACTCTAGTAGTCACAGGTCATTGTATTATCATGCCAATGCAGTTAATGGAACTCACATGGAATCACAGGTGTACTTAGTTCAGTTTTAATGAACACAGGTTTTCCCGTTTGTGTGTCACAGGTGTGTTTCTACACTGGGTCCTGTATTTTCGGTAGTCACTGTGACAGGTTTGATAATTGTAATACTTGTCAACTTAGAAATAGTGAACTTTCTGAGATGAGTCAATTCTGAATCATTTGGCATTTAAAAGATATTGCACAGAGATTTGCTCACTTCTGCTTTATACTGTGTACACGAGAGAAAAACAGAAGGAGGCAAAACAAGCAAAGACAGAAGAACATCAAGGGGGAGGTGACGGAGGCTGACAGCAACACATGCTGCTCCAGGTAGGTCAAATCAAAAGCACATGTGGGATAGAAAGGCAGCCATTACTTTAATGTATGTATAGTTTTAGAGAGCCTTACATCCATTTCATCGCAGAGCACTGACCCAGATCCATACTGCAGCTGACACTGATGGACAGCGCTGTACAGAACCCCGGGAAGCACCGTAGACAGAGACAAGCGGTCCTTCCCCGGAGCATCGTCCAGGCACCAGCCCCAGCCGCGACTGTCAGGGAAGATAGAGGGTGTTGAACAGATAAAAAAATGATTTCAGTGAGCACAGGTTACAAAGAACTCTTTGTTTTAGACACACAGTGTGAAAAGCAATAGTTCTTTTATGAAAACAAAAAGATTCTCTTTGTGCAGTTGATCGTTTCAAGCATGAACACTTTCACAAAAATGCTAATTACTCTTGAAATCGGGATGTTCACGCAGTTTTTCCAGGTAATCCACTGTGTTCCAAATGTCATGCAGGGTTTCACACAGAATAAGCAACAGAATTTAATGCGGCACGAATCTTAAGACATTCTGAGAACTGCTGTTAGACTGAAGGGGCTACACAGTTAAAAATTCACCCAAAAACACTTGCTTTAACATAAAACCACTGTTCAAAGATGAGACTTTTCATGGCAGCTTCAGTGGATTTTCACATTTCAACTCACTCATAATCAGAGAGTATTTAATCTACTTGTCCTATATATTGCAGAAACAGAATCAATGTCATGATGTGGAAAAAAAAGAGAGAACATCAGGCTTTTGTCTTTATTAGTGCCTAAGATATTATTACAAATAAATAAAAATTTGGAAAGTACTTGATCAATCAATGTAAAATTTCACAGATACCATTCAAATATCCATAGTTTATGATTGAGAAGTTTCAGGGATATTGGAGATGGTGGAGCAGCTGATCATTTGAGATGTAATGATCCATTTCTGTCATAACTGATCTAAGTGTATCTACAAAGGCTCATAATCCTCCACTGCTCCTCCCTCAACTTAGCAATGAACACATAAACAAACTTGAAGTGCTTTTAATTACCAGCATGAATACTGCGGTCTTCTATCAAGATGCACTCCTCCAGGGAAATGATTTGCTGCTATAAAAACAGTGCATTAACAGACTAATTGGCCGTGCAGGGAAAGAAGACAATTAGAACAACAAGGGAGTTTTCAAGTATCCTTCAAAATAATGCAAGGTTACGATCCATACTGATAAAAACAGAATCTTCAGAAATAATGCTGCTGCAAGTTTATCTTCATACTCACTGCTTTATCTGGATTAATGTTTGTATTTGACTGATTTAGTAAAGTGGAGGGATGTGCAAGGGCTTAATTATGTTGTAAAAGCAAGACTTGGAGATGTGTATATTTCTTATGAGTGACTGAGAGTAAGACATTATTTCTGTTGAGTAAGAGGACACTGAGAAGACATGCTGATCAGATTTGCTAACAAAGCAGCAAATAGAACTATAATCATGTACACCACATACACAGTTCTATGTACTAACTTCTCCACTATAAACACCATTAGGATGGACATGATGATAGCGTCAGTGCACTTTGTTCCATGCTTAAGTCGTGCCGTAATCAACTGATTTATCTTTCAGCATATTTATGTTGTAGGCTCTACAGCAGCGCAGCCATTAATTCTGTAACACAGTGAACTGAAAATAGATTTACTGACGGTGGAAACACTGAAAGGTTGGATTGAAATGATGCTATGAAAATGAAAAAGTTGTCAGTTTTGACAGGACTGAGCACAGCCTTGTTATTAATTAACTATAGCTTCTATTTCCCATCGTCAATTACACTCAATTCTGTCAGTCGCAATAATTACAAAAGCAGGACGAAATTAGGTGTCATCTATCAGCATCACACTGTATTACCTGAAAGATACAGGAGTGCTAAATGAGGGAGTTCGGTAGGAATTTAATCATTTGTGACGCATCTGCACAAAGTCAGTCACGCCTTGGACTCTATCCGAGATACAGGCCGAATTACGTTGACACATGATAAAATATTGACTTTGAGTTTATTATTTAGATCGGTCCATTTAGTTGTTTTCTACATGTAGGTAGTATATAATATTACAGAGCTCCATGTTGCTGTCAGATACCGTCAGCGTGCAAGAGCGCTAACACCAGGGAGAAGCCGTGGAAATCACTTGACGCCGAGAGCAATGTGTCATCGCCAGCCAATCCTGTCCCGTGATTATGTGGTAGCAACATCCCGCTTTTGTTCACGCATAATCGCTCAAGGAACAATGCCACTGATTTCGTGCAGATGGGTCACATTTAGGATTCACAGGATGACTTTGGTGAAAATGAAAAAAGCGATTTAAAAATTTCTTGCTCAGCAGCTGCGTTGACATTGAGTTTATACAGCTGAAGATGACGCAAACCTACACGCTTAATGTACTGATGTGGGATTAACTGAAAAAGAAAAAAACAGAACAGTAAATAGATTCTTTAAACACACACTGACAACTGTGAATCACAAATGTGTTGACTTCAACTGTGAAGAGTGAAATAATCTTTTTGTGATCTTAAACAAAAACAAAATCATTTGATTCTTTGGAGCCGACAAAGAAATCAGATCTCCATAATGAAAGCTCTGCTGAGGTTATGACGAGCCTGTGGTCATTAAATAAATGTGAGTGTTGTGATTTGGATTTTAGTTTTATGATCGTACATGGCCGAGCTGGTACGTATAAAACTGTATTCTCCAAATGTCAATAGTGATACATTCGCAAGGGAAGATGTCCGTAACCAACAAATGAAGTTATGGAAAAGATTTTGGAAATTACACTCGAGGTTCTTTATAACTATGAAGTTAGATTCACAGGCAGAACTATGTTACAAAGCTTTAATATACTTAGAAAAAAATATATATACGAGGTGCGTCAGAAAAGTTCCAGGACTGATGTCACAAAAGATGTATTTCAAACCATAACTACAAACAATCAGTATTCCCCTTCAGACGATCAACCAGCACATCTACAAAGAGATCCTGCAGCATTTGCTTCGTTCAGTGCGCGAGAAGAGGCCAGAGTTGTGGCTGCTTCACCATGACAACACACCTGCTCACAACGCCCTGAGCATCCCACAGTTCCTGGCTGAGAAGAACATCACCGTGCTGGAGCAACCTCCCTACTCACCCCACCCTCACTGGCTCCGTGGGATATTTTCCTCTTCTCCAAGCTCAAGGGGGTCATCAAGGGAACCGTTTTAAAGATGTGGACGACATCAAGATGGCTGTAATGACGGAGCTGTAGAGGATCCTGGAAGAATCCTTCCAGGAGTGCATGGCGGCGTGGCAGAGAAGGCTGGG